TTTCATCATCCCTGAAACACTCTGGACTAATTAAACCTTAACTTCCTCTTCACCCTTCCCCTCAACCCTTGGCAACCATCATCCTCCTTTCTATCTCCATAAATTGTCCACCTCACGTAAGTGGAATCTTACAATATTTGTCCCTTGTGACTGCTTTTTTCACCTAATGTTTTACGGTTTATCTATGTTGTGGCATGTGTCAGTGAAAAGCCATAGGGGAGGGTGCTGAGCACAGAGGCAGGGGTGTTTTCGGAGTGATGGAGGCTGGATTGCAAGCTGGGTAGCGGGGCCAGTGAAGAGAGGCTGGTGGGTTGGGAGATGCAGTCTGAGAGGCGTTCTGAGGTAGGAGCATTTGGACAAGCGTGCTGGGAGGACAGGAAGCCGTGCTCAAAGGTGGATGTTCAAGTTTTGGAAGGTGGAACAGCTAAGGGTGATGACAAGGTCTAGGGTGTGACTTTTGAGAGTGGACAGTTGGGGCAGCATAGTACAGAAGGTCACTGAAGGAGGAAATGGAGGAGCCCAGACCCCACGGTGGGAATGGGAGTTGTCTATATGTGTATGTGTTAGAGGTCAAGTTTGGCTGCATGTAACAGACAACCCAAATAGCAATAGCTCAAATGAGACAAGAGTATAATTTCTTCTGCAGACAGCTCAGACTGGCATGGTGACTCCAAGATGTCATCAGCAACTCAGAGTTCATTGATCTTTTTGCTTCCCAGGGGTATGACACTCTTTCTTCCTCATGCTTACCAGATGGCTGCTGAATTCCAGCAATCACATGCAAATTCTAGTAAGGAGCAAAGAGGAAGAGACACGGTGAAAAGGAGGTGTACAGCAGCAGAAGGATGCTCCTCAAATGAACTCTCCTAGAACTCTAGCTAGTAGCTTCTTCTATTGCAGTGGCCAGAACTGTAACAAGTGACCATCGTTAGGGGAAAAAAGAGGCTGAGAAATGTAGAATTTTGTTGCCAGCTTACATTTTCAAAGCAGTTCCTTTCATAAGTACAGAATGCTCAGAGAAGAGGCAGAAGATCTAGGCTATGGGGGCAGCAGCTCCTAAGGGCACAGTGGGAAGGTCTCAAGACTGAGGAGTGTTGGGATCCACTCAGTGTGGTTGGCAAAATATTAAGGGAAATACTAGGGAGAGTTGTAAGATTATAGTCTCAAACCTTCTGGAAGGCCGAAGGGTTTTAATGGGACAGGATGAAGGCAGCCTGTTATCTTAGAGCATTAGGTCACAGGGTGAAGATCTGGGAAAATAGAAGCTTCTGCAGTTAAGTCTGTTTACCCCATGTTCCTTTGTCTCTACTTTAACTACTTGTTTACTGATGCAAACTTTGTGTTAGATGATCCTTTCAGGGGGAAGTCAAAGGGGGATTACCTGTTAATGGTGTTTGTTCTGGGCCTGGGAATCAAAACCTTTTTATCCTCGGTAAAACCACTCTTTTAACCATGTTAATTATCCACAAGCATGTTAACTTAGAACCTCTGTCATTAATTCTATACTGAATACATGTGAGGAGGAACAGCTAGTGAGGGGCCGGTTAACTGCAGTCGCCCTCTGAGAGCAGCTGACGACCTCCCTAACCCACTTGCGCACTTTACTGTATGTGTGAGGGTGTTTTATTTATCCATTGTGGAGTCGGGGTTTGCAGGACACCCTGCAGGTGGTTATAGACATCTTGGAGGAGCGTCGGGACTTGGGTAGGGGAAGGCAGTGCATCGTATTGTGGAGGAAATGCTATGAAAGAGAAAGTTGAAGGCATGGACGCTTAACTTTTACTATGACTGGTGAACACAAGGATGAAGGGCAAAGGGGATTCAGATTCATGGTGGCCAGATTAAGATCTTTAGCGGCTCTGTCTCCCAGCCCCACATTCTCATTCCAGGTTCTGCTTTTTACTGAAGCTCAAAGTCTGCAACCTTCATTCTCTGACCACCTTACATTTTCTTAGGCTTCCTGCTAGCTTCTGCCAAAAGAGGCCCTGGCAGGAGATCAGATGGCAGGGGGCAGAGGTAAGGATTCCATGCAACAGGTGCTGGAAGTTGCTGGTGTGGCAATGAAAACTGGGCTCTAGACAAGGGGGCACTGCTTTGGTAGATCCAGAGTCAACCACGACAACTGTGACAGTGTCTTTAATAGTGCAGCAGTAGGCACAGGTCCCTGGTGCTGGAATCCAGTCCAGGCACAGGAGCAGCACATAGTCACCGAACACCATCTTGCCTTCATCACTTCTCAGTTCTTCCTTCCTCCCTCTTACTCTCCCAGCTACCTGTGGAGATGTTTAACCTTTTTATCTGTAGCTATGTGCTTAGGAACTAAAGGAAAGGCAGCTTACTGCATGACTCAGCTTTCAGTTTAATTTTTTCTTTTGGCAGGGTGAATTGGAGTCCCAGGATTTTTGTTTTGTTTTGTTTTGTTTTTTTTTGGGACAGAGTTTCGCTCTTGTTGTCCAGGATGGAGTGCAGTGGTGTGATCTTGGCTCATTGCAAACTTCACCTTCTGGGTTCAAGTGATTCTCTTGCCTCAGTCTCCTGAGTAGATGGGATTACAGGCATGTACCACCATGCCTGGCTAATTTTTATCTTTTTAGTAGAGACAGGGTTTCACCATGTTGGCCAGGCTGGTCTTGAACTCTTGACCTTGTGATCTGCCTGCTTCAGCTTCCCAAAATGCTGTGATTACAGGCATGAGGCACTGTGCTCAGCCAGGGTCCCAGGTTTTTATTTTCCTTTAGTAGTATCTTTCCTCAACAATCAATTTCATATAAAAAGAACAATAAACCTTAACAAAATTTGGTGTGTATTTTACCAGACTTTTCTCTTTGATTTTATGTACATTTATCTGAATCCATACAGATTATGTCATGTGTGTATATTTATATACGTATTATCCTTTTGTGTGCATCATTCTGCAATCTGGTTTTTAAAAAAAATTGGTAACTGATCTTGGAGATCTGTCCATGTTTTTATATCTATGAGATTTTTGTATTTATTTTAATTAACTGGTGTTCAAGTAGCCATTTATGTAATGATGAACATTCAGGTTTTTGCAATTTTTTGCTCTTAATAAGTTGCCGTGGTGAACAAACATTCTTGTACATGTGCCAGAGTTTCTCTGAAGTAATTAACCAGCGTGGAATTACAGAGTTGTAGAATGTGCTTGTTTTCAGTTTTACTAAAACTAAATCTTTAGTTTTACAATTTGCCCAGTTGTTCCTCAAAGTGGCCATGCCAATTTATACTCCCACTCACGGGCAGGAGAGTGTCCTAATTCTTGATTTTTCTAAGCTCTTTAATTTTGGTTAGTTGGGAAATAAAATAGTATCTTGCTGTTTTAGTTTTCATGTCCCTATGGACATGAAACTGATAGGCTGGTGATCTGATAGGTTGGTGATCTGATAGATCATCTGATAGATTGGTGATCACTACTTCAGGCTGACTTGGCCTTGTGAGGTGGTGTTGCCCATATTCCATGGTTTCTAGTGGCAGGCCTTGGAGATAGCTCTTTTTGACAAAAAGATTCACTAAGAAGCTTACTGTGATATCTTCCTAAAAATTAAAGTAATATTTTTTGAGTAGATAGTAGGTATAGGTGTATATATTTAGGAAATTTATGTACATGAAAAATTTTAATATGGCCATACAATGCATAATAATCTTGTCAGGGTAAATGGAGTATTCATCACCGCAATCACCAGCATTTCTTGTGCTGCCAGAAAATGCTGCTGAGCTGTCAGTTGTCGGAAGCTGTTGGCCTGGACAAGGGCAAGGGGAAAAAACAAATCCCCAGGCTTGCTCAAGAGCAGGAGCTGCGCAGATGCCCCAGAATTGCAGGTGCCAAGCAATGAGTGGCAAGCCTTTGTGGAGGGCCACCATTTGCCCTTGGGGTTCATTATATTTTGGATAAGCTGAACAGTGTTCTAGATTCCTTCAGATGCTATGTAATCCTGTGATTAATTTAGATTCTGAGGCTTCAATCAGCATCCAGTGGGGAACGATTTCTGCTTTGAAAAAACGGAAAAGAGCAGGACAGGGAAGGGAGGGGAAACCTGAGATCAGTTACGGTTACACTTCAGCTAACTGTTTCATTTTGTTTTCTACAAGATGCTACTCAGCAAGCTAAAGGAGTCACTTTGCCTGCAGGTCTGTTTTGTTCTGGCAGGAAAGGATCAACTCATTCTGTTTCTGGGAGACTCACATTCAAGTCCAGGCTTTGGGACTTTGTGCCCTGCTTTCCTAACCTCTAATACTGAGTCCTGCCTCCCTCGGGGCGGGGGAATCCTGCTGTTAGTGAGAAACAGCAAGTCAGACATCAGGACCACAAATTTTAGCCTTCGCTGCAACAGGAACTCTCTGAGTACCTTAAGCGTTTTTTCCTTAAGCTCTCTCTCCCTCAGTTTTTCAGTCTGTAAGCGGGTGTGAGCATGCCTGCTGCACTGGCTCCTGTGGAATTGAAGACCACAGCAGGTGTGAGGGGTTTGAATGAACGCCACGAATACAGCCATCAGGTGCAAGCTCAGGTGTGCAGGAAAGTGGACTGGGAGTCTTTCCAGCCACAAGCAGCTAAAACCTGACCTTAGAAGTAAATGGCATATGCATTTTGGGATGAAACCGCTTGGCCGGGGCGATTTCCGGCCTGTCTTCCCGGGAAACTGGGCAGCAGGCTGAGAGAGGATTTTCAAAATGAGGACAAGCTCTGAAGACCAGCCCCGCAGCCTCCGGCTCTTCCAGGGTCGCACGGCTCCGGTCGGCTCCCGCGCGCCACCTGGTGCCGCGTCCCCACCGCTGCCCAGAAACCACGTGTAAGAAAGTGCTTACAACCTAACTACGCACTGCGGTTTCCACCCATCCTGACCAGTAGGGAAGGAGGAGGCGGGGCGGAGGAAAGCGAGGGCCCAATCACCTCCCGCCTTTCGAGGGAAAGGCGGGGCTTGAGGTTTACCACGTTGGGTTTGTCCGCAGCGCTAATTACTTTTTCCAAGGGCTGGAGGGTTTCACTCCGGCTGGCGCCGCCGCCTCGCGCGCTCCTCCTCCGCCGCCACCGCCCGGGGGGCTGCCGGTCCCGGGTACCATGTGTGACGGCGTCCTGCTGCCTCCGCTCGTCCTGCCGGTGCTGCTGCTGCTGGTTTGGGGACTGGACCCGGGCACAGGTAGCGCCCGTCCCACCGCCCCCTTCGCCCCCGCGTCCGGCGGCTGCCTTCCCCTCTGCGCTCTCGCGGCGTCCTGGCGGCCCCAGGGCGGCGGCGGGACAGCTGACGGCGCCCGGGAGGAGGAGGCGCGGGTCGCGGCCGCAGGACCGGACTCGGGTGGTTCCGTGGTAGGCGCGCCGCCGCCGCCGGGTCTCCGCTGGCCGAGGCGCGGCGCCGTCCCGGGAGGTGCTCGGGCGGCTGCGCCGGGGACCCTCCCCGGGTGGCGCGGGCCTGCGCGGAGGTGCCGGGCGAGGGAAGGGAAGGCAGCGCCCGCTCCGGGTCGCGCTGTCCCGGCGCTGGCGCGGCGGGAGGCCGGCGGGAGGGCCGGCGGGAGGGCGGGCCCCGCGGCGCTGACGCGTCTCCTCTCTCCCCGCAGCTGTCGGCGACGCGGCGGCCGACGTGGAGGTGGTGCTCCCGCGGCGGGTGCGCCCCGACGACGTGCACCTGCCGCCGCTGCCCGCAGCCCCCGGGCCCCGACGGCGGCGGCGCCCCCGCACGCCCCCCGCCGCCCCGCGCGCCCGTCCCGGAGAGCGCGCCCTGCTGCTGCACCTGCCGGCCTTCGGGCGCGACCTGTACCTGCAGCTGCGCCGCGACCTGCGCTTCCTGTCCCGAGGCTTCGAGGTGGAGGAGGCGGGCGCTGCCGGGCGCCGCGGTCGCCCGGCGGAGCTGTGCTTCTACTCGGGCATTGTGCTCGGCCACCCTGGCTCCCTCGTCTCGCTCAGCGCCTGCGGCGCCGCCGGCGGCCTGGTACTGCCCGCGTCCCCACCGCGTCGGCCCGTCGGGTCTGTTGCGGTGCAGGGTGGTCGCCGTGGAGGGTGGAGGTGGGGCGCCTCTGCGGGAACCGTAGAGAACCAGCCTCCAGGGGAGCCGTAGAGAACCCCCTGCCTTTCCACCTCTCCCCATCCCCCACCCCTACCTTCAGGACCCTCTATAGGCAAAGGGGGTGGAGGGGGTAGCCTCCGAGTCCAGCGCCTTTGTAGCCCGTGGAACCCGCGTGAAGCTGGGGCTGCGTGGAGTCTACGCCGCCCGCCCAAGGGAGCGCGGATCTAGCAGGGATGAAACTGTCAGGGCCCTGAACACGGGCGCCTTGGCTCCAGTGCGGAGACAACTCGGTATCTGCACCGCTGTGTAAGCGTGTGTGTCACGGGAGTACCTACGTACATATAGATGTTCTGTTCTTGGACGTGGAGGTGGGGGAGTGGGCATTCACCTCCCTCCCTATTGAGTGTTCTTTCTGTACCTGGAACAGGAAGTTGGGAGAAGTGCCCACACAGGCCACGGCTAACCCCACTCTTACTGAAATGTTAAGAAACAGGAGACGAAGGACTTTTGTCCTTGTATACTATTAGAAAGCATTTGTCTGGTGCTCGCCCCCAACCAGGCCTGAGGGATGCTTATATTGGTAATAAGCCCTATTCCTGCCCCCAGAAGCTCCCTCGTTGTGGCAGTAACTTCTCCGTGTCCCCAAGTCCCTGCCCTGTGGCATTTGAGGCACCTGTGACAGGTGCTCCTGGGGGCAAGGGAGTTCGTGTGTGCACTTGCCCTGCCTGTGCACACACTTGATAATGTGGCTGCACTGGTGCCCGTATGAGCACTCAGCTCCGTTCCCTGAAAGCGGCACACGTGGTCGGCAGATGGGCTGCCCCCAGCAAAGCTTGGTGTGGACGCAGAGCGTGAACAGCAGGGGTTTTTTCCTCTGTCTTCTGTCATGACTGGCCTCTGGGGAGGCGGTTTCTGATACTAGTTTGTGTCTGTCCTTCCCGGGCACAGGAAACTGCTGCCTCCACCTTTACTTGTGCCACTAGCTAGAATTCCTCAGCCCTTACCTGCAGGGTCTGTGGCAAGACCCCGAGAATTCAGGAAGCCAGAAGGCCTGGGGGTGCAAAGTCTTATGTAAGACCTCTCCTTTCTTCCCAGTGCTGCGGGTAACTCTGGGTGGTTTCCTAGATCAGCCTGGCTTTCCTTTCAGGAATGTTCTGAGTTCTGATTAGGGTATGATCTGGTTTTGCTCAGCTGGGAAAAATAGGCAGCTTTGGTGAAACAAGGAAAGTGATATATAGATTTTTGAGGGGGCCTGGTAGGAGGGAATGTTGACCACGGGCTGGGAGGCTGGAGTGGGAGTGAGAAAGGCTCAGATCACTGTAGGGCTTGGGTCAAGGCTGTATCATGTTATGGGAGGGACTGGAAGGCCCACATCATTTTTCCTGTTTTTGCCAAAGTGTTTAAAGTCTAGGTCACATCATTGTACTGTACATGGAAACATCTGAATCCCATTTGCTGCGGTTTAGTGAGTTTCTGTAGAGGTCAGAGTTTATACTTCTTGGTGTAAAGTTTCCAGCAAGGAGCTATCTGTGAAGGAGCCGAGGGTGAAAATCTGGATAACATTGATTTAAAATCCTCGCAGAGTGAGGGCTGGGCCCTCATAGATGGCATCTCAGCCAGCTTCTCAGCAAGACTGTCCTTCCCTTCAGCACCATGTGAGGGTGCTGTGCTTTACATAAAAGAACCCTGCCAACAGGCTGAGTTCAGTGTGTGCCAGTGGCGGGTGTACCTCTAAGACTTCGGCTTTTAAATTCCTGCTTTAGCAGACACTTGTGTTCTCTAGTCCGCCTTGTTCATCCCGTTCGTGTGAGCTGGACGTTGGACACTTCCCGCTCGGTACATGTTGAAGGCAGGAGGGAAGAGACAATGGGTGACTTGGAGGTGGACCCCTTGGTTGCAAGGTGGTCCTGAAAGCGTAAAGAAAAGAAAGCAGCAGGAATCTGGGCTAACCACGTTTGCATCACAGATTAGCTTTGACTTGGGTTCTCAGTTCAGGCGGCTGGGGATGCTGTGTGTCTCTCGGCCGTGGTGAAGCTCTGTGAAGTGCAGATGTAGAGGGAGGTGTGTGTTATAAGGTGTGAGAAGGAGTGATGTCAAAGGAAATGATCTTTGGTGGCCATGGATGGGGGGGGCGTTTCAAGGTGTCCTTGTATCCAAAAACGAGGAGCAAGAGTCAGCAAACTTCTCTTACGGACCAGATAATATTTTAGCCTTTGTGGACCACATAGCCTTTTTCCCAACCGCTTAAAGCTGCCCTTTTAGTGTGAAAGCAGCTACAGCTACGGACGCGTACAAGCAAATGGCTGTGGCTGCATTCAACAAAACTTCATTCCCGATGTTGGATATCATGTCAATTGCTGGTAAGTCCTACTGTACCTAACATTTCCAAAAGGCCTCAGCAGAGAGTGTGGCCTGCCTGTGCTGGGGGCACACAGGCTCTGTTCCATGTTGTGTGGAATCTGTGCCGTTTGTCTCCAGAGATGTTTGCTCTCTGTTTAAAGGAGATACATTATTAGAATAAATCATTCCTTAGCTGTTTAGGGGCCATGGAGAGTAAAACACCTGTTCCTTTTTTGCTGCTTCTCCTTTTGACAGCAGGCAGAGGCATGGGCCTGTGGCATTCCTTTCATGATGTCTTATCTGGGCCAGCTGTGCTTTTTGGATCTTCAGAGACCATAGACTTAAATATGAATTGTCTTCTGTTTATGCTTCTTCATTGTATTTACATTTCCAAGAGTCTTTAGACAGAGCGTAGGTTTTTTGGAAGTGTTTCTGTGAGTGTATCATTTCAAAGCAATGAACTTTAGGCGTTTGAGGAAGGCCTTTCCACTCCTAATGAATTTGTTTGGATCAGCTGTCTCTGACCAGGACCGGATTATGGAAGGCTAGTGGAATTGGAATCAGGCTGAACTTCATAGGTAGACAGGAGAGCAGAGTGGGCACTTCAAGGACAGCATGAGCCTCAGGCCCGGAAAAGAATCTGTGGCTTGTTCAAAGTGAGTGGACTTGTTTTAGGAAGAACGAGTGAGAGGAGGGGAGGGCTGGAGGCCCCTGTTGTCAGGTGTGGTCTGCGGAGCGGCAGCCATCCTTCCTTGGATGATACTCACAAAGCTTGGGAAGGCCACCCTCTGGAATGTGTCCACTCCTTCTCGGCCAAGGCTGTGGCCTGCCAGGAGCACAGTGTGAGACAGTGGGACCGGACGGACCATCAAGGTGCCCTGGGCTGCAGATGACTAAGTCATAACTGGTTTCCAGCCTATCTTGAAGGACTGTGAGAGGGTCAGGGATCCTCCTATCATAATTTCTCTGTTGTCACAGCCACATGCTGTAGGACTGTTATTTGGAATCACTGGGGTCAACCTTGTGGCCCCGCCTACCCCGCCCTTACGTCCATGTGGGTAGCAGATCATTTGGGGCGCATGGGACATTCACAGTTGTGTATGGCTGTTCCTCCCAGTCCATTTGAGACTTTTAGAGAATGCTCACCTCTGTTTTATAGGGGAACTAGTGTAGTCCAGATAAGAATAGATGGGGCCGAGCTCAGCCAGCTGATGAGTAGGCAGCTTAGATTAGAAGCGTTGGGGACCCCGTTTTTAAGAAGGCAGCCTGCGTTTGCATGATTCCTGTGATGAAGAAGCAGGTTTGTGATATCACCACCTCTCTCTTTAGAAAAGAGTTATCAAGCCCTCTTTGATTGATTGATTTACGAAATCGCCCAGCTTTGTAAGGCAGCCTCACTCGATGGAGAACAGCTGAGTAGGAATTGGTCTTGACAAAAATTACGTGGCGTGGAGACCTTTGGAAGGGACTGCATTATAATACATCATTATATTGAGACAGATCTGAGGAAGGTCTGGTAGTCCTAAGTGGTGACTTGGTATTGTTCATTGATCCTGTGCAGCATAAATATATTTGGAGAATACAAAGCACATATTTAGAAGTTTGTAGAAAGAAACGATGGAGTAGATGCTAAGTGGCATTTTGGCAGGAGAAAAAGAAGGGCAAAGACAGTTTCCTGAAGTTTGGAGTTTGGGAAGTATTGGAGGGAAGAGCTCAGAAAGTTCTAAGGCGTCTGGCTGCCACCTCTGGAATGACATTCCTGTGGCCTCACGGTGGCTTGTCTTCGTTCCCCTTTGTCCTGTCCAGCCCTGCGTTCTCTCGGGTTCCTCCGGATTGCCCAGGGCTTCCTCCAGCCACAGCTCTCCAGGGCTGGGCTGACTCTTAGGGTGCCAGGCACTGACTGCTGCCGCATCAAGCTGCCCACGAGCATCGTCTAGGACACACACTAGATGTCCCCACTTTGAACTTTTGTTTAGTTGACAACATTAAGAAACGTGAAAAAGCAGCACAAGATGCTGCAGTGAACTGAAGCTGTCGCCTTTGACTGACTGCATTCTTGGAGCTTATTTCCTGAACTCTGAAGTTCTGTGGCGGCCTGATCCTGGGTGTGTGTGACAGGGGAAGACAGTTTTTGTGGCCAGTACATCTGAGGGGACCATGTGGAGTCATTGGTTAACTTTTCCCTGGGCATGTTTCTGTGGACAGGTCCACACATACGTGGTCACACTCTTGCTCCTTAGGAAATGAAACTGTATGGCCATTTGGGGCTGTATGTTGAGATAGCCACTTAACTCCTTTGAACCTCCCTGCCTACAGCCATGCAGGGAGAAGTAACGTGGGCTTGCAAGACTGTTGGTAGAATGGAAGGAGATAGTCTGAAATCATTTAGTGAGGGCCTGGCACATTAAGGCATTAAAAAGAGGCTCCTCCTCCTGCCCCGCAGGCTGTTCACAGACCTTTCCGGTTATCCATCAACTGCTCAGTCATGGTTCTTCCCTGAATGAGCAGATCATTATCACACACCTGCTGTGTGCAGGGTGCTCTGGTAGGTGCCCAACAAGGCTCAGAGAGAAAGACAGTGCAGGCCCTATCTGGGAAGGCAGTCCCAGCCTTATGGAGGGAGGTGCTCTGGAGCCTGGAATGGGGCGGGGCTTTGGGGAGGGAGGAGAGGCTAGGCCTCAGATGCCAGGAAGGAGGAGTGACGGAAAGGGCATGGAGGCCCCATTGTCCTGAGATAAGGGACCCATGAGTGGGTTGGTGGGGGTGGTGGTTTTAAGAGATGGGGGTAAAGGAACTGAACTGGCGGGCATGTGAATTACATGGGGCAGGGCTCTGGGTGCCCACCAAAGGCATTTGGACTTGAGCCCGGTTTTCAACCCTGAGCTGGCATTAGAGTCTCCTAGAGGGCCAGTTAAACATTGCTGGGCCCCACCCTGGAGTTTTTGATGTAGGAGGTCTGGGGTAGGCTGGGAGCTTGCATTTCTCACAAGTTCCCCAGGGGATGCTGATGCTGCTGTTCTGGGAGGGCCCTCTGGGGGTCACTGGCTGAGAGGCAGTGGAGGATGGGTAGCTGGGGAACCCTGGGGATAGCAGATGGGGAGGACTGAAGAGGAGCACTTACAGCAGGGAACTGACCAGGCTCAAGACTCAGACAGGGGCAAGCCTGGGACAGAAAGGAAGAGCACACAAGAGGAACTCTGAAGGGCAGGCTGGCAGTCCTTTGTGGCTGGCCGACACTCTGGTGATCTGAAAGGGGTGATGCTGAAGTGAGGGACTCCTCACTACCGATGGGAGGCTGGCTTTGGGAAGAAGACCAGGCATCTGTGCTCAGGGATTCCACGTTCACAGAGGCGACAGCAAGACTGCAGAAGGGGACCTCTGGGTGGTTCCTCAGAAGAGGTGCAGGTTGGGAAGCCCTGCATGCCTGTGTCGCGCGGGAGGCTCCTTCCACTGGAAGAGGTGCAGGCCCATGCAGAGTCAGAGGCAGGCAGGAGGATCTGCAGTCATAGGGTGGCTTTGCTTCTTGGAAGCAGGTTGGTCCCTACAGAAAGCAAACGCACTGCCCTGTTGGCCCCATCCTCTCAACCCATTTTGATCTCGAGAAGGAGACCCAAGACCCACTCCCATTAACTGAGGAGCTGCAGACCCCTGAAGGCAGGGCATTCCATTGCAGGTTTTGTGGAATCATGTGACTTTGCCCCCTCCCACAGAGGCAGGCTTTGGAGCATATGCAACAGTTTCTGTTACCTTAACTGCATTTTCTAAGCTATGCTGAGAGCTTGTGTTAATGTTAGGTGATAAAAACCTCTTTCACACGCTTTCCACACTGCAGTGAGAGCTAGTCCTTTTTGTTGGGGGTGTGGTGTGGAGCGAACAATACCTGATTTGTAACTCTGTCTTAACAGGACCCTTCAAAGCAAGTACCCACAACAGAGGTGAAAGGTAACCACTCACAACTGCTGAAATACCAAGTCATCACCTGATCCACTTTATTTGACCCACACTTTAGTATAGTATACCAAGTCCTGCAAAACTTCAGATTTCTCTTTTAAGAGCACCATTTCACTGGGGGCTTTATTATAGCCCTTAAAACCAAGGGGCCTCAGGGCTGTTCATTGTGTCTGCCATAGGCGTTTATTTCTAGATGGTCTCTTTGGAGGACGGTTGCAGGCCTCCTGTATCCAAGGCACAGGCTCAGTGCTGGTATTTCTTCCCCATCAGTGGAACAGAAGAGGCCTTGGACAGGCCTTTCCCTGCTTCTCCCTTGTCTGCAGGAGTCACAGATTCAAGAAGCCCTGCTCTGTTCTCGGGGCCACGGGGCAGTGGTGGGCTAGAAGCCGGGGCAGCAGGCATAGCTGCATAGTCAGAGGAAGGCCCAGGTTCCAAGGCCAAGGAGCTCTAGACACGGAATCCAGGCAGTAGGTGTCCTGTGTCTCCAGCACCTGGTTACAGGCTAGCATGGCACCTTTCAACCCTGGCTACACATTGAATTTTCCTGGTCACCTTTGAGAAAATAGTGGTGCCTGGCCTTACCACAGAGATTCTGATTCACTTGGCCTGGAGTAGGGGCTGAGGCATCAGGAGTTTTCAGAACTCCCTAAATAATATCGATACGTTGCTGGGGGTGAGAAGCCCTGAGCAAGGAGGCTGCAGGCAGTCCATGCAGGTAACTGCGTTTTCTGTCGCTTTTCTCTTTTCTTTTTGAGTAACTTACGTGGCAGACATTGGCAAAAACAGAAGGAATAATTCTGATCTTGCCTCTATGGAACAAACTGTTAGGTGGTGAAAATGTTTCACATGGGATAGTGGGCCGGAATGTAAGCTTGCAGGTGGCTGCAGGGAAGGGGGCTTTATTCAGGGAAGAGAGGAGGGCTGGGGGGTATTTTGGGGTGAGACTGTATGCAACGCACAGGTGGTACTTCTCAACAGGACATTTGACCACTGGTGACGTGCTGACAATCGCAGTGTCATAGATGCTTGAGGGAGTCTGGGTACAGTGAGACAGGCAGGGAGGAGGAGGCAGGGTCCTTCCTCATGGTGGTTCCCAGGGTGACGGCCCTGTGCAGCCCCTCCCTCCTGGGGCTAGTCCTGGCCACATCCCTGCTCGAGATGGGGCTGGAGAGGGCAAGTGGCTGCCAGGTCGAGTACCCACTAGTCCATTTATCCATCTTTCCCCAGCATTGCTGTTTTCGTCCCGAAGCTTATAGAAAGCAGCACATGGGGCCCCTGAGAAACTGGAAAGAAAAGCCTCCCCTAAGGTGATAGGGAGGCTTTGCGTGTATATATGAGTGTGTATGTGTAGGATTTCTCACCAAGGTGAGATCGCCCTGTCTTTAAAAACTTGAGTCACGTTAGAACTAACAGCTGACTGCTTTTTATGTGGGGGTTTGTGAATGCCGACACTAGACAGAACCAATAATAACTGGCTTTGAAAGTGCTACACCCCGGGGAGCTTTGACCCACAGCCAGGATGTTTCCAAATGAGGCCAGCTCCTCATTAGGGGGAACCTCATCCCCTGGGAAGCAAGGGGTCCTCCCACGTGGGGTTCCACTCACTGTGTCATCTGCTACCCACTCTGTCTTGACTTGGGAAGTTCTCACGTGGCTGCACTGAGGCTGCATCGTGCACAGCTGTGCTGGAGCTCTGCGCGTCCCACTGTGGCCACCCTCTTCCGTTTCTTCACTTTCCCCAAAGTTTCCCAGTGAACAAACTCAGGTTTTCACTTCAAAGGAGAGGGAGGAAAGCTGTGCTCTCCTGCAGGTCATGCGGTGCCACTTTGAGACAGTTTTATTTGGGCAGTAAAATCTTTGAGTTGTTCTTGGCAAAAGTTGTAATGAAATGGAAACCTTGAAATATGCTTAGAGCAGTTAAGTATGGCCTCACCGTGTGTCTTGGGGACTCAGGGTTGTAGGCCATCTAAATTATTAGTTGATCTGATTTACTTTCCAGGAATCTTGGTACCCGGGCGTCCTTTCAGAACATAGAGAGGGGCTATCTCATTTGGCTTAAGTGAGCTTTATACTTGACACCCGAGGAGTTAGTGCGGCATGTGGTGGTGGTGGGGGGTGCTTTGCAAGTGTGGTCATTGTATAATGTGGGAACTTCTTAGAAATGCACATTCTTGGGCTCCATCAGGACCTCCAGGTGATTTTGGTGCACGCTAGGGTTTGAGAACCAATGGTTTAGTGTGCTGTGGCTTTTTTTTTTTTTTTTTTGAGACAGAGTGTTACTCTGTTGCCCAGGCTGGAGTACAGTGGCATGTTCTCGGGGCACAGCAACCTCTGCTGCCTAGGTTCAAGCGATACTCTTGCCTCAGCCTCCCGAGCTGGGATTACAGGCACCTGCCTCTGCACCTTTCTAATTTTTCGTAGTTTTAGTAGAGACGGGGTTTCACCATTTTGGCCAGGCTGGTCTTGAACTCCTGACCTCGTGATCTACCCACTTTGACCTCCCAAAGTGCTGGGATTACAGGCGTGAGGCACCATGCCTGCCCTGTCATGGCTTTTAAAAAGTGATGGTGGAAGAGGGAGACAAAGGATGTCATGACCCGGTAAGACTCATCTGCCAGGTCTCCTGAATCTGTGCGTCCCAGGCAGTCCAGGATTGTTCCCAGGAGAACGCGATGTTGCCTGCATTGATCGGTGTACAAACCACGTCCTCCCCTGGCCCTGTCTGGGTTCGATTTCCTTGAGAAATTGACCATTTGACTCCACATAGGAAGGGAAACTAGCAGCAGGGGCCTGGGGAAGGAGGGCAGATTGTTTGGATGCTGTCTAAACAATGCTAATGTTACCATTAATACACCCAGGGATAAGATAAGTTTTTCTGTTAGGGATTTAAATGTCATTCCCAGCAGTTTCAGTGTTGCCTCCCAGGTGGACTTTTGCGGGGATGATTTTTAAAGTAATTTAAAAAATAATTTTAAAATTAAAAAGATTTGATAATAAAGTAATTTATCTTCTCTGAAAGCCAACGTGGAAAATGGATGCTGTTGCACCTGTATCTGTCCCCCACCCCCAACACAGCTGCTCTGTGTTTTTAAGTCACACAGAAGCTCACTCTTGGGCTTGGGTAAATCAGACCAATTAGCAAAGAAAAGAGCCCAGACCTGGGAAACGAAGTCCCAGCAAGGTGGCCTTGCCTGCCCTCCTGGGGGACCATGGGCGTGTGTGAATGAGGATGACCGACATCGCGTTTCCTTCTCTTTTCTGGGCAGGTCGGCCTCATTCAGCTTGGGCAGGAGCAGGTGCTAATCCAGCCCCTCAACAGCTCCCAGGCGCCCTTCAGCGGACAGGAACATCTGATCAGGCGCAGATGGTCCTCGACCCCCAGCCCTTCTGCCGAGGCCCAGGGGCCTGGGCAGCTCTGCACAGTTCTAACAGGTGAGTCTGGGCAGCAGCGTGCCTGGTTTAGAGCACATGCACAGCCCGTACTCTGTGTGTATCTCCCAGTGCACTGAAGCCATGTAAGCGAGAACTTACCTTCCCCTCTATTTTGAAAGCTGTTTTATTGCCCTGAGACCACTTCCTTTCCTTTCTCTGTGTCTTAGTGTCAACAGCCCTTTGGAAAAGTCATTGTTTTATTTCTGCAACGAACCCAGGTTCTCTTTCTTGCAGTACGTCAATTTTATATATCAAGAGCAAGTTGAGGTCCAAAAAATTTTGAGGGCTTATTGATCAAACGCCAGGTTTGTAGCTGAGTTTGGATAAGAATTCCTTCCTCCTCGTGCCCTGGCCAGGAGCTTACTCTTCCAATACAGCACTCCTGAGTTCCGGCTGTACCAATTAAAGCCACCTGGGGTGCCTCTGAAGCGGCGATTCTCGCACTGTGGCCCCTGGGCCAGCAGCATTGGCATCATCTGGGAACATGTTAGAAATGCACATTCTCAGGCCAGACCTGTGAATTGGAAACCCTGGGGTAGGGTCCAGTCATCTGTAGTTTCACCGGCCCTCCGGGAGATTTAGACGCATGCTCAAGTGTGAGGACCACTGCTTTTCAAAATGCCGTGCACGCTGGGCCTGTCCCCCCAGAGTCCTGATCTTTTTTAGTCTGGGTATGATTTGGGTGCCAGTGTTTTTAAAAGTGATTTTAGTACATAGTGTCGGGGGAGAACGTAGGGCTCTTATACTCTGGGTCTCTCTTTGAGCAACCCTGATGTGGATGGTCTGTCACATGTTGAACATTTCATGGGGGCTGCAAATGTCCCCAGGTGAAACTGGATCACAGGTGGCATTTCCTCCCAGGAGATGTGGGACCCCACTGCTGACCTCTGGGGGTTGTGCTTCGGAAGCTTAAAGACTTATCTTTGCATGAAAATTCATGTGTCTTGGTTTAGTATTCTGGTGACACTGGAAATAAGTTGATTATGTGACCGCTTTGGAATTACCTTATTTGTAAACAAGTCTTGCAGTTCAGCTCAGCTGCTGTGTGTGGACTTGATGGAAGGTTGCCTTTCTCTTTAGCCTTGTCTGGGTGGGTATTAAAGGTGACTGTGCTGGATAGAGTTCACTTCAGGAGAGCTTTCAGTCCCAGATGGAGACATTAGGGTTTTCCTGTTCTTCATCCTTACAAAAGTGAGGAAGACCTCATAAAATTACTAGTACCTAAAAGATTCCCTTTGATAGGAAGCAGAGTCTTGGTAAGTCTGATGGTTGGTTGTGGGCTTGATGTCAGTATAGTTTTTGTGTGTGGTGTGTTTTTTATTTTTTTTGGAGACAGGGTGTCACTCAGGCTGGAGTGCAGTGGTGTGATCATGGCTTACCGCAGCCTTAACCTGCTGGGCTTAAGTAATCCTTCCAGCCTCCTGAGTAGCTTGGACCACAGGTGTGCACCACTACATCTAGCTAATTTTTGTTTTTTGTGGAGATGGGGTTTCGCCATGTTGCCCAGGCTGGTCTGGAACTCCTGGGCTCAAGTGATCCTCCCGCCCTGGCCTGCCAAAGTCGTGGATTATAGGCATAAGCCACCATGCCCGGCCCCCAGTGTGCTATTTTCAGCCTGAGTCCCTGACCCTACCTATGTCTGCCTTGATGGACCTTTTTTTTTCTTTTTTAGGGGGAGGCTTTATCTCCTTTTAAAGTTAGTAACTGTTAGTCTTTCTAAATCTTCATACAGTTTCTGCAGCTCACCTGAATGTACTGGCTCAGAGGCAGGAGGATTTCTCTACGGCAGTGGTCCTCAGCCCTGGCTGTGCCTTGGCATCAACTGGGGGGGAGGTTTAACAACTACTCACTCCCGGGGGTCTCACCCACAGAGAGCTGCTTTAATTAGACGTTCTGGGGACATCGGCAATGTAAAGGCTCCCAGGTGGTTCTGATGTTCAGTTGGTATTGAAAACCACGTCACTAAGGGCTGTTAAGCCTGAGGAATAGCACCTGTGGGCCATGGGGGAGTGGATTTTCCTGGGTGAGCGCTTTCAAGCAGGGCTGTGCTGTGAAACACAGGACAAATGTCTTATTCTTGCCATTCCTTCTGCTCACGCCACTGTTCATCAGACGCTAGTCCGTGGTCAGAACCCAGCGTGCTTGTAGATGAGATAATGGGATGTTTGTCTAATGACCGACTTCCATCCTCTTTAGTGGCGTGTTACTGAGGGTCGCTGACAAAATGATAAATGGTGTTTGTGTTTGCATTTTTGTCCCTTAGATGAGTTTTGAGTCATTCTTTTGATAGACTGTCTAGCCTTTAATGAGGAAATAAAATTAACAAAACCAGGGTGGGGTAAATGTGATGGAAAAAGTTAAAACAAGAGCAGCCATGCAAGAGGGTAGGGAGAAATTTCTGAACTTGCTTAAAAATATAATCTCCCCTTCCCTGCTCTCAAACCTTGCATTGGCTTGCTTTCTGCTGCAGGAGCAGTGTGCGTATTTAAGGTTGTGGTAGACTCAGGCTCTGTACTGATCAGGAACAGAGGCATAGAGGAGGGTTACGTATTTTGCTTCTGGTTCTGCTTGCGTTGTGTGAACTACTCAATAAATGTTCTGGCTATCCTGAGAATGACAACGGGCCTTTTAATAGGCTTAGCTAATGAGCAGTCAATTAGGGCCTATCTAGTTTGGATTAAGCTTTCAAACATCAGGAGTTTAGAAATCAGGAAAATTAATTGACTGGGACATCTGCAAATTACATTCTTGAAGTTTCCTAGACATTTCCTAGTCTTTCCTAGAAAGATTAGATTAATCCCAGAGTTACCATGGGAACATGCTCTTTCTGGCTGAACGTGGCAGCCCTAGGCTTCATGGTGCCCTGTTGTTGACCCTGTGTTACGATAGCCTTGGACATGGCCTGGGAGTAGGCTTGCTGGCTCTTGGAGGTGAGGAGGAGGCTAAGAAACTTCCCCCATGAAGTGCTCAGTGCGCTTGAAAGATAAACCTAGCTGAGCTGCTGTGCTGAGTAGGGTTTTATGTCTGAGCAGGGATGGGGGCTAGAAGGATTGTCACAGCCAACACCACCTGGCAACTGTTTCTTTCCGTTGGATACTACTGAGGTTGCATTTCTAGTGGTCTTTGGGGCTCCAGGTGAGAGAACAGGCTGATTCTGTTTCCAACATTGCTCCTTATTTTGGGGGCCTGATAAACTGATCCCTAAAGTACCACTCCAGGTTGGAACTCGACAAACTAAAATGGTGCCTTGGATATTTTGAAATGTTCCTGGATTTTTAAATAGTTGTTTTGACTTCAAACCTTTTCATCTTCCTTCTACGCTTAATTTCTCCATTCTGATTCAGTTTCGAATCTTCCTCTGAGCATTTTCATGCTCTTAAGTAGCAATATGCATCTTCCTCTCCTCCACCATGGTGTATTTCACATGCGTATGGTAGAAGTAGGTGCTGAAATAGAAGAGTAATTTTCCCTTAGCATTTGCAAAATAGGAATCCCAGGACATGTTGAGCAGTGGGGAGCTCACTGGAGTGTGATTATGCCTCCAGCTGTGGTTTCTGTGAAGTACTCATGTCTACTTTATAGGTCAAGTTCTGTTTCTACTTTAAAAAAATTACTGTTATTTTCTAGTATTGTCTGGTACATTTATAGCATTATAAAGATCATTTCAATGAGTATTATTTGGTGGATACCAGACTCTTTAGAAATTGTGTATTGCTAATTTATGCAAGAATTTGCATGTATAATATGTGTATATACTCTGTAATATACAATTGGTCAGATCTTGTGCTTTGTACCAATTAATTATACCTAGTATTCCATTATTGGAACGCTGAGCTTGTGGGAGTTATTTATATGCTACTGCTTGAGGTCATTGCCAAGGTCTGATTTTTCACACACAAATTTGCAACCTCAGGCCTAAATGGGTTAAGAATCCTTCAGTTGGAAATGACAGAAATCAAACTGGCTTAAACACTAAAGACACCATTGACAGGAGTTCATGGAGCTGACGACTACAGCAGGAGGCTGGATGTCAGGTAATGCCTGCCCAGGCGTCACTTCTCTGCCTGCCAGCCTTGTATCCTCAGCTGGCTCCTCTTAGGCGGCAGAGAGGCAGCCAGGATGAGGAGGTCAGCTGTTCTGTGTAGTTGGGATTTGAGGTGGGCTGGCGTCGATTGCCTTTGCCACTAGTCAAAGGTTTATAGCAGGCTTAGGTCTCTCCCCATAAGGAGTGTAGGTGCCAGTACTCATGTGACTGCAGAAACCACTGGGTTTCCATCCGTGTCCTGACTTCCTGCCTGCCACCACACACTTGGTAAAAGTCTGGAGTAGATTTAAGACATCTCGAATCCAGGTGTAATCCATTATTCCAGCCTACACGGTTGAAAATGTGGCTGTTGCCTCTTTTCCACAGCTTAGATGAAATCAGCTCCGTATTCCACGCGTGCCCCAGGGACTGCTATGGCCGTGGACCTTTGCTCAGGAAGGGCTTAATTCCTCTGAAATTTGGTTCTGCTACACTTCTTTGACCTCAGCTCTCCCAGTGGATAAAATAAAATATGATTTTGTAGTTTGTCCGGTGTTCTTTGTTGTAAAAGTGGTAGTTGGAGTCTCTTCTTCTATGTCTTTACTGGAAGCAGAACCTAAAAGGAGTGGCATTACGTGGCTACTTTGAGTTGCTCCAAGTTAGTATTTTAAATATTTATTTACGTATAAATGTTAACTCTGTAAGCAGACATCAGTAGTTTAAGAATTATTATTCTGCAAAGAGAAAAAAACCATTGTAGAGGCCCAATTCTGTTTTCCTTTGATGTGACCCCAGAAGAGCTCCTTCCTGTCTCTGTCTCTCTGTATTTGGAGCAACAGAGGCTGCCCCGGGAGCTTAAACAATAGAAACTGGTTGTTCTGGTGGTATTTATTATTCACAGTTCTGGAAGCCAGAAGTGTGAGATCAAGGTGTTGACAGGGTCTGTTCCTTCTGAGGCTGTGAGGAAAGGATCTGGTCCAGGCCTCTCTATTTGGCTAGTAGATGGCTGTTGTGTTAGTAGATTTGTGTTGCCCAAAAGGACTGTCTGAAGCTGGGTATACAGAAAAGAGGTTTATTTTGACTCATAGTTTTCTGGGGTGTACACAAAGCATAGCGCCAGCATCTGCTTCTGGTGAGGCCTCAGGAAGCTTCCAATCATGGTGGAAGACCAAGGGGAGTCAGCTTGTCACATGGCGAGAGAAGGGAGCAAGAGAGAGTGAAGAGGTGCAGGGTCTTTTTAAACAGCCAACTCTTGCTTGAACTAATGGAGTGAGAACTCACTCATAACTATGGGGATGGCACTAAACCGTTCACGAGGGATCCACCCCCATGATCTGACACCTCCCCACAGCCTCCGCCTCCAGCATGGGCATCGAGTTTCATTATGAGATCTGGAGGGGACACACATCCAAACCATAGTGGCTGTCTTCTCCCTGTGTCTTCACATGGTCCTATCTCTGTCCGTGTCTGTATCCAGATTTCCTTTTGGGAGGACCCCAGTCATACTAGATGAGGGCTCACTGTTGTGACTTTATTTTCACCTAGTTATCTCTGTAAAAACCCTATCTGCAAATGCAACCACAGTCTAAGGTCCTGGGGGTTAGGACTTCAGCATACAGATTCCTATGAAGTCCTGACCCCCAGGACCTTAGACTGTGGGTTTAAATCTACTAACACAACAGCCATCTACTAGCCAAATAGAGAGGCCTGGAATCATTTCCCTCTGAGCACCTCAGCCTCCCAAAGTGCTGGGATGCTTTGTTTTATTGAGAGAACTGAACATTTACGGATATGACTGATGGCCTTCTCCCTTCCACCCCCGATCAAGGCTCTGGCTAATTCCTCGAAGGAACCACCAGGCTGACCTGACACAAGGAAACCCTTCCTTTCCATAGTTTTTTTTCTTTTATAACACTTACGATATAGAATCAGAAATTGCATTCTGTGTTTCGTGTGTTTTGGAATTTACGTAAATGATTTTATGCTGTGCAGCTTGCATTCATCACCCACAGTCAAGTCTTCTAGATGTAGCCCTCTTAATAAATGCAAATACCATTCATCTCTCTCTATTGTGGAGTTTTGTCTATTAACCTTTCAAAGAACTAGCTTGGTTTTCTTTTTATTTTCCATGTCTGTCTTTAATTTCTCTTTGTGTCTTTATTATTTTTTTCCTTTATTTTTTAAGTGTTCTCTAGATTTAGTCCTGTTGCTTTTTCCGTAACTTCTTGAGTAGAATAGCTCAGTTAATTTGACTTTCCTTATTTTTCATTTGTATGTTTAGGGCTACACATTTCCCTCAAAGCACACCTGCAGGTGCAGACACATTTTGATTTGTAATGTGTAGTCCCCCTTCTCAATAGTCTGTAACTTCCACGTACGTTTTCCCTAGAGAGGCAGTACAGTATAGGAAGAATCTAGAGACAGGTTTGCTGGATTTGATTTCCTACCTCTACCACTAGCTTGAGTGACCTTAGGTAATTTATTTAACCCCTTCCTTGTGTCTTGATTTCTTTATTTGTAAAAGGGTGATAATAATTGCATGTATTTTATAGAATTAAGATGATTCAGTTAATGTGTGTAAATACAGCATGTGGCAAAAAGTAAATATTATGCTGTAGATTAATTGAATTTTTATTCTTTCATATAAATTTTTTGCTATCTTTACAACGTGATTTATAATTCTATGTATAAAAATGGAGAATGTGGCGCATATGATACTTCCATTTGGTTCTTTTATAGTGTCAGTATCTCTGCTGTGATTTCCTGTCTTTTCGTCATTCATGAGCACATTTTCCTTTAAGTCCTTGAGCATATGGTAATAGTTGCTTTAAAGTTTTTGTCTGCTGTGACATCTGGGTCATCTTCTGGTTTGGTCTCCATTGGTTGTCTTTTCTCTTGAAAAGGGGTCACATTTTTCAAGTTATTTGTGTGTCAGGTAATTTTGGATTGTGTTCTGGATATCGTGAATGTAATTATATTCCTTTGGAGAGTATTTTAGCTGGCAGTTAATTTCGTTGGACTCAAACTGCAGAATTTGTATCTTGAGTGGCAACTCAAATCTCAATTCTTTGATCCTTAGCTAGACTCTTTTCCACATAGGCATCATCCTGAGAGTCGGGTAGAATTTATGTACAGAAGTCTGGGTTTCACCTTTGTGGAGCTCTCCTTTCCAGCATGCCTCCTCTGTAATTCCTAGTCGCCTCATTGCCCTGCACTCTGTCCTCTGGTTCTTCAGATCACAGGGGCTGTGAGCTTTCTGTTGGAGCATTTGGCATGGTGCCGCCCAGGCCTTCCCTCTGTCTCCTGTGCTGTTCCTGTCTTCTGGGTGTTGACTCCCAGATCTTCCAGCCTTCAGGTCTTTGGATTTTTGTATTTTGTTTGAGTTCCTAGTTGTTATCTACAGGAGGGTTAGGCTTATTAGAAGCTTTTGAGCATACTGAATTCCATATGTTACCCATTTATTGGTAAAGGAAGAGATTTGCTTTGTGGCATAGAACATAGATGTTTTTGTTTTAATAAATATTTTATGTGTAAAAAGAGTATATAATCTCAAATTACTGCAAATGGGGTGTATATTTTCTAATTGTTGCATTCTGTGTGCCCATTTACTGAAGTTACTGTGATGTCAATATCATTCATATTCTCATTATTTTGGACCTGCTTGATTTGTTTTAGAGATACATTAAAAATCTCATAACTTACTGTGGCTTGGCCAGTTTTGCCTTTTAATTCTATTGATCCCTGCTTTCTAAGTTGTGAGGCAGTATTGTTGGGTGCATACAGGTGTAGGAGCTGTACTGCTGGTGAACCATTCCTTTTATCTTCAGGTAATGGGCCATTTTTATCCCTGGTAATACTTTGTCTTTCCAGATATTTTCAGCTAATGTTAATATTGCCGGTCAAGTTTTATTTTGGTAAATGTTTGCCTGAAGTTTTTTTCCTTAGCTTTATTTTCAGTTGTTCTCTGTCTTGATGATGTATATATGTTTCTTCAAAGTAAGGTGTATTTGAATTTTTAAAAAAATGTCCAATTTGGGAATGTGTTTTTTCATGGGCAGGGTTGGTGTTTTCACGTTTATGTCATTGCTAGAATGTACCTTATTTCTACCATCTTCTGTTTTGTTACCTGTTCACTATAACATAATGTCTTTTTGCTTCTGTTTCTTTTTGTTTTTGTTGTTTGTTTTTTTTCTATTGGCTTGACCAACTTTTAAAAAATTTTCCCCTTCTCTCTTCCACTGGCCAGTTCCTTGGGTCCAGGAGATCAGGGCCAGCCTGGGCAACATGGTGAAAACCTGTCTCTAAAAAAATACTAAAAATTAGCGGGGCATGGTGGTGCATGCCTGTAGTCCCAACTACTTGAGAGGTTGAGGTGAGAGGACCCCTTGAGCCCGGGAGGCAGAGGTTGCAGTGAACCAAGATCGTGCCACTGCACTCCAGCATGGGAGTTGGATAATCCATTAAAATTTTGTTGTTGTTGCCTTTAAATTAGGAAAAAAAAATGCATATGAAGGAAGTTTGAGGCGTCAGGTTTCTTTCATTTATAATACAAGAGGCTTCAAATGCTTTAACTTTGATTTTACACGTTGTTTCTGTCTGTAAATGTAACCACATTTTGTCTTTGTCTCTTCCCAGTGAACGGTATCCTGTGTTTGCAGTTAGAATCACTTAGATGTACTGATCTTTGTCAGCTGGCTCAGTGTTGTTTCTTGCTACCCACTTCCCTGGGCCTAACGTCCTTGAAGAATGTTTTTAAATGAGGGTTTGCGCATGGCTAAATTACTATTTTTGGTTTATTGAAACTGTCTTTATTTTACCCCTACTCTTTTGAGACAGGGTCTTGATCTGTCTCCATGCTGCCATGCTGGAGTGCAGTGGTGTGATCTTGGTTTACTGCAGCCTCTGCCTCGCAGGCCCAAGGGATCCTTTTACCTCAACCTCATGAATAGCTAGGACTACGGCCGTGCACCACCATGCCTGGCTAATTTTTAGTATTTTGTTTAGAGACAGGGTTTCACCATATAGCCCAGGCTGATCTCGATCTCCTGGACCCAAGCAGTTGGCCCGCCTTGGCCTCCGGAAGTGCTAGGGCTGCGGGTGTGGGCCATCGTGCTCAGCCTCCACCCTTACTCTTAGTGATGTTTAGCCAAATGTGGAATTTGGTTGAGTCTTCTCTCAACACTTTAAAGATATCATCTGCTGTCTTGCGGCTTGTGTTTTTGTTGCAGAAGGTCCTCTGCCCATCGGATTTCAGATTCTGTGTAACGCTCTGCCTTCTCTTCTGCAGGACTGTGGTTGGGTTCTGCAGCGTTCCCTGTGGACTGCACGTGTTGATTCTGTTTGGGACTCGCCGTGATTTTCCCAGCCTCCCCCTGGTGGAGACGTGCCTCTTCCCATTCCCTACTCATTCTCCTGGAATTCCTAACTGATGTGTGTGACCTCACTATTTTTTCCTCCGTGTTTTGTGACTTCTTTTTGTGTTTTTGGTCTCCATCTCTGTGTTCTCTAGTCTAGAGAATTTCCTGTCAGTGGTTTCTAAGTTGACCAGATTTTTCTTAAAGTAGGTCTGATCTCCATGTCACCTCCTACTGAGTGATTATATTCGATATGTTTAGAAGTGATACATGTTTCTTTTCCACTGCTGTCTTTTTTATGGTGTCCTGTTGTCTCATAGATTACCTTTCCTTTATCACTTTAGATCTTTTTAGTATAATTATTTGAAGTCTTTTTTGAGTGATTCCACCTTCTGAATTCCACCTCCCCACCCCCGCCCCTGAGACAGAATCCTGCTCTGTCGCCCAGGCTGGAGTGCAGTGGTGTGATCTGGGCTCACTGCATCCTCCGCCTCCCAGGTTCAAGTGATACTGGTGCCTCTGCCTCCTGAGTAGCTGGGACTATAGGTATGTGCCACCATGCCTGGCTAACATTTTTTTGTATTTTTAGTAGAGACAGGGTTTCACCATGTTGGCCAGGCTGTTCTTGAACTCCTGACTGCAGGTGATCTGTCTGCCATGGCCTCCCAAAGTGCTGGGATTACAGGTGTGAGTCACCGCACCCAGCTGCCTTCTGAATTTCTTGAGGAATGGCAGCTCATGCTCCCTGAGACGGGACTATTTTTGGATGTGGATTGTAATTTTATACTCTGAGCTCAAATTCTGCTAAAATGTCCTCCTTCCTAACCTACTTCCCTGGGACTTGGTAATGGCAGGACTTTCA